CACTATGCAGCATAACAAAGGGGCAAGCAGTCAGAAAGGTAAGAGCATCCTCACCCAGCTCAGCCTTTGTTCTCCTGATAGCCCCACTGGTGTCCCACTGAATTTGTCCTAAAAGAGTCTGTCTCTGAGCACTGCATAAGGAACTCCAGATAAACACCTTGGGCCATTGCTGGGCAGAGCCTGGCGGCTAAAGCTGCTGCACTGCTCAGAGGGCAGCACCACAGCTCTGCTCCTTGCAGCCCAGCACCACCCTTAGCCCTGCACTGCTGTGCCTGGCTAAAAGATAGAGAGGTATGGAACCACAAAGCCACGGAGCCACTTCAGAAGCTGCCTCTTGATTGGCAAAGGTAGCCCCATCCTAACTGAGAACCAAGAGCTGGCCATTTGATTTCACAGAATGAATGCTTGGAGTCATTTTCCATAAATCCTCACATTTAAGGATCTTTTACTAGCTACTCCTCAGCTCTTCCTTGAGCTTCACATCTTGCACTGACAGCAAAGATGTGCCATAGCTCTGAAACCACAGATAAATTTACCTTTCCAAAGATCTTCCGTAACAGACTGCATTTTGCAGACAGAGTACAGGAATAATCCCAAAACTTATCTGTGAAAAGTTGACAACTGACCAACTTTGTCAGAACACAACTATAGCACAGTAGGAACATTTTCTACAGTGACTGGAATGAAGAAAAAGAGCAAAAGTAACTCAGAGTGACCCACATGGTGACCCTTACCCATTGTACTGCAAAATGATGATGCAGAAAAGCAAAGGTTCTGTGAATGGAGAAAGAGGAAGAAATGATCAAGGATCAATAGATTTAAGTAATAGGTAAACGTATGTTAAAAAAAAACAACAACAAAGTTGTTGCTATAAATCTAATCTACGTGGGCAAGGTGACTCTTGAGTAGGAATGTGGCGTTGGTACGTGTGACATGGGCTTCACCCTGCTTCACCTGGCAGTGAAAACAAGGTGGTGACATCAGGGGAAGGTTTGGACCCTGAGTTGGTTTTAAAAGACTGCTCTGCTCTGCATGGAGTGGCCTCACCTTGATCACCATGCACTGCTTGGGCACCACAAAATAAGAAGAGCATGAAACAATCACAGAAAGTTCAGTGGAGGGCTACAGAGATGGGGAAGGGCCTAGAGGGAAGAATGTATGAAGAGTGGCTGAGGTCCTTTGGTTCGTTCAGCTCAGCAAAGCAGGGGCTGAAGGGAGGCCTCGTGCAGCATGCAGCCCCCTCATGGCTGCAGAGAGAGCTGGAGCTGAGCTCTGCTCTCTGGAGACAGCGACAGAGCCAAAGGGATCAGCATGGAGCTACATCAGGGGAGGGTCAGGTTGGGCTTAGGGAAAGGTTCTTCACCAGAGGGCAGTTGGCATGGAAGGGGCTTCCCAGGGCACTGGACACAGCACCAACCTGCTGGAGTTCAGGGAGGTTGGGCACCGCTCTCAGCCATGGGGTTTGGGGTGATTCCATGTGGGGCCTGGAGTTGGACTCAGTGCTCCTTTAACCTCGAGGTAATCTAGGATCTGATGATTCTGTTCTAATTCGGTTCTAATCTGGGCTGGCAGCTGACCTGGGTGCCTTTCCTCTTCTGCTATTGAAAAGAAAAGAAAAGAAAAGAAAAGAAAAGAAAAGAAAAGAAAAGAAAAGAAAAGAAAAGAAAAGAAAAGAAAAGAAAAGAAAAGAAAAGAAAAGAAAAGAAAAGAAAAGAAAAGAAAAGAAAAGAAAAGAAAAGAAAAGAAAAGAAAAGAAAAGAAAAGAAAAGGCATTAAAAAAAACACGTACACTTCTGTGTATACATTCACCTAAAGCAAAGCAGCACAGAAATCAAAGCCACCATTTCCAAAAGAGATCGAAGTGTAACGCTAACAACTTTGGGCAGCTTCCGCTGTGGAGTTTAAGCAGCTGCCACGTTAAATAACGAGGAGGATCCCAGGTTATCTCCCAGCGGAGCAGAACGGAGGGGTCGGACCGTGGGATGCCGGGCCGCCGTCGGGGGAGGTGGGACGCGGTCCCTTGGTTCGGCTGCTGGGGGCGGCGGGGGCACCGCTGGAGGATTTCGATATCAGCGCCCGAGGAGCGTTTGGGGCCGGGGCTACGGGGTGAGGCCGTTCCCAGCGTGAAAACTGGCTTTGGGTTAAAAAGGGGAGGAAAGGCAGAAAGGTTTGGGCACGGAATTGGGCCGCCCTGTCGGACCGAGCACCGGGAGTCGTTTTTCTCGAGAGGCAGACTCAGAAATAATAATAATAAGGGTAAATAACAACTGTAAATAAACGTGTGTGTTGCAAACGGCTTGGCGGTGCGCTTTTCGCAGGGAAAAAAAAAAAAAAAAAAAAAAAGAAAGAAAGAAATCCTCAAACCATTTCTTCTCCTCCAAGTGTCGGGGTGAGGGATGAGGTGAAGGACGAAGCCTCCGACGGGGAGCAGCCCAGCACGGAGAGGCGAACGCGGCTCGAACGCCGCAACCCAGCCGACGTGCTGCACCCCGGCACCCCAGAGCCGCCGACACCGGCCGGAGCTCGCCGTGCAAAGAGGGAGAAGGCGCGGCAGTGGGCAGGGCGCCGTGACTGGGGCAGCTGTATCAAAGTCAGTCATTTTTAATACGCTTGCCGGAACAGCAGAAGTCGAATCGATAGAGACAGCCTCCAGCTGTGCCTAAACCTGCGATTTCAATTAAAATACTGAGCTTCGATGCCCGGGTCTTAACCGCGATCCCAAAGCCCGGCCGCACAAGGCATGCGGCACTCGGGCACGTCGCGGCCGGGAGCGGCGGTACGGGCCGGGCCGGCCCCGGGCTCCGCGGGGGCTCCGCGAGGGCTTCCTCAGGGGCCGTGGGAAGGAAGCGGCCCTGGGGCTGCCGTTCGGGGTCCCCGCCGCGGCTCCTCGCTCCCGGGGAGCCCCGAGGCCTGCGGGTCCCGCTGCCCCGGGCTGGGACGGGCGCGGAGAGTGGCCGGGTCGGGGAACGACGGCCCTGGAAGGGCGAGGGAGGCTTGGGGAAGCTGGCAGAGAACTCCCGGCCCCGGCTCCGCAGCCCTCTTTTATCCTGCCCGAAATCATCTCGTTTACAGAAAATATTTGTTTGCACTATTAGTTGGTACTGGAGTTAATTACTCAACGTGTGAGCGGAGAGTAATATGGATAAAAGCAGCCCCAGTGTTTATTGTGTGGGTGAGCTGTTGAGCGGTGCTTGAATAAACTGCAATTAGGGTTAGATAGAGATTAATTAACATGTGAGTGGCAAGGTGTAAAATAGTTCCCAACCCTCCACTCAGTATAATCTGCAGGCGAGGAAAAGAAGTTTGTGGAGGCTAATTAAATACTTTGCTGAAGCCGACGAGCCCCGGCAGCGAGAGGAGCCCCGCCGCCTCCTGCCCGTCGCCCGGCTTGGGGCTCTCCCGCAGCCAAACGTCGGGAGCGGATCGTCCCCAAAAGCGGGACGGCTCTCTCCATCCCTTACAATCACCGCTAGGGCAGGGACGTCGGCTCCGGGGACGCCGACAACCGATGCTGCAGATGGGGGATGACCCCTCGATGCTGGCGGTCCCACCCGAGCCCGGGGCGCAGCGCTCCGCTCCGCCCGTCGGGAACCTCACGGGCCGCCGCCGCCGCCGCTTTCAAAGTTTGTTTCTTTAGCATGTTGTGGTTCGCAGGTGAAAAAGCCGTCTGCAAACAGCCGCCAGCGAGCTGCCCCGGCGGGGAGAGGAGGCGCGGCTTTGTCAGAACCGCATAAAAGCACCGAATTCCTCCAAACTTTCTTAGGCGTGCGAGGGAGGAGAAAAAAATAAATAAATATATATATATATATGAGTCTCATATATATAAGTACACATATATGAGTCTTTCCATCGCTTGCTTTACCTCTAGCCAGGCTCAATCTAAAACCCTCGCTCCCCCCCCAACTCCCCCCATCCCTCCCCAATCCCTTCCCCCGGCTAATCCTCCCCTTTATTTTAGAAACACACAAAACCAGGTTCCACGCAGCGCTATAGTGGCTCCCAGTGAAAGAGAATGGAGCGCTGTGAATCGCTGGGGGAGAATCGCTCGGGCTGAATGGCCCTGAGAGGTCCGGCGGGGCCGGGCCCCTTCCCCCAGGTGGGCTCCCCAGCTCCGCTCCTCACATCGCGGCGTTCTGCGAAGCCTCCCCTCCCGCCCCAACTCCTTCTAATTAGAGAAGAAGGGAAGGAAGGAAGCCCGGCACCCGGCCGCAATAATGTCGTATATTTGGAGAGGGGGGAGCGGGAGGGGGGCAAGAAAATGATTAAAAGGGAAAGGGAGATGCACCCGCTTGCACGCCCAGGGATGCGGGCGTCTCACGGGGTGAGCGCTTGCAAAGCTCCCGTCGCAGCGCACGGCCGCTTTTCTCTTTTACCCCTTTTTACTTTTCCCTTTTTTTCTTCCTCTTTTTTTTTTTTTTTAAGCAGCACAAACCCAACCCCGGAGTCGACCCCCTCCGCGTTTATTTAAGGCTAATCACCAGCCACTCTGCGAGGAGAGGGGGGGGGGGTGGAATTAAACTTAGTTTAATTAACATTAATACACCGTCCTAATTAATGGGTTGGCTATTAATTTATACATGCTGGGGAGGCTCGCAGATAAGTGACAATTTATTAATTATCTTCCAGCTCGGTTGCAACGGAGCTGATTGCAGATGGGTTGCCAAAATAACTCGAGCACGGTTGCGTGGTAGTCGCTTTAGGAAAAAAAAAAAAAAAAATTCATTCTCCCCCTTCTTAAAAAAAAAAAAAAAGAAAAGAAAAGAAAAAAAGAAAGAAAGAAATAAAAAGCAAAAAATCCTCACGCTCACTCCGAGCGGCTCCTCTAACCCCAGCGAGAACTGGAGCACTCTTTTCCACCCAACTTGTGAATCGCACTTGCCTTCTAATTTGCCACATGCAAAACGATTCCTCTGCTTTGCAAGTTGCTTTTTAAGAAGGGAGAGAGAGAGAGAGAGAGGGAAAAAAAAAACCCAGCTCGCACACGAGCGATTTGAGCGTCTTAAACTGGAAGGAAATCGTGCGTGGAGGAGGGGGGGGGGCTTCTCTTCCTCTCTCTGCCCCAACCCACCGCGCTCCAGCCCGGCGCCTGGGCTCGGGGAAGATCCATGGTGGCATCCCCATGTCATCCTGCTCCAAGTGACTTCATGTGATGTCAGCTTTAAATGTACGAGGCGGTGAGCTGACGCTCGGGAAGATGTTTGCTATCAAAATGTGACTGCGGCCGCACCGAGCTGCTTGGATGCGTCTCGCCGGAGCCGGGCTAAGGTAAGGGGTGCTGAGGCAGCCCCGCGCCCCGTCGGTGTGGTTGGGCAGGGCAGCAGGGGCTGGGGGAGCTTCTTCTGGCTTTTTTATTTTCTTTTTTTTTTTCTTTCCTTTTAAATACTAACAAGGTCTAGCTCGCATGTTACTTTAGCGTGTTCCGCTTAATGAGCAGTAATCTGGTACCCTACGTGCCATTGTTCTTGGATATGTTCATTTGAATGTAAATAGGGAGGGGGTGCCGGTGGGGGGGGGGGGGGGGGCTGAGTGGGGGGAAAGAGAACAAGGTGCTTATTAAATTGATTTGTCTCCTGGCTTTTCTGGAATGCAGAGCCGAGCGCAGGAGCGAGCGGCCGCTCAGCCCAAGTTCCCGCACGGCGCAAAGCCATGGCGAGCTCGGGGTCGCTGGAGACGGTCATGCCTTCCCCCTGCCCCCGGCACGACGGCCGGGCCGCCGCCGCTAACCCGTCTAAGAGCCTGGCCTTCTCCATCGAGCGCATCATGGCAAAGACGTCGGAGCCCAAAGCAGCCTTCGAGCAGAGGCACGGCGGCCCGGGGCCGGAGCCGGAGCCGGGCAAGAAGTCGCTCAGCCTGTGCTCGCCGCTGCCCTGCGTGATCCCTATCCCTCCGCTGGGCTACGAGGTGCCCTCCAAGACTCTCCTCAACTACTCGGAGCTGTGGAAGAGCGGCCTGCGGGGCGCCGGGGGGCTCTGCAAAGCCAACTGCGGCGTCTGCTGCAAGGCAGAGCTCGCCCTGGGTCAGCCCAGCGGGCGGCTCATCAAGCCGCAGGTCATCCACCAAGCGGGGGCCGTGCCGGCAGCCCCCCGCTCCCTCTATTACTTCAACTACCTGGATGCCGCCTACCACCCGGCCGACCTGCTGCACGGACAGCTCTTCCCCGCCGGCCTGCTGGGCCCCCCGCCGCCGGGGGGGCTCTCGGCTCACCAGAAGCTTTTCCTGCTGGAGAACGCCAAGCTGGCGGGGTTGGCGGCCGAGAAGCTGCCCCCGCCGCCGCCCTTCGCGCACAAGGAGCGGCTGCCGGGCCACCTGGACCAGGTGATGAAGGAGGCGGCGGCGGCGGAACGCGGCGGCCCCCCCAAGGGCCACGCCAAGCTGGGGGGGGGCGGCGGCGGAACGGCGGAGGGCAAACCCAAGAACTTCACCTGCGAGGTGTGCGGCAAGGTAAGGGGAACGGGGGTGGGGGGGCGGGAGGGGCCGGAGCGTGCGGAAGCGGCCCGCCGCGTCTCACCGCTGCTTCCCCGCAGGTGTTCAACGCGCACTACAACCTCACCCGGCACATGCCGGTGCACACGGGGGCTCGGCCGTTCGTGTGCAAGGTCTGCGGGAAGGGCTTCCGCCAAGCCAGCACCCTGTGCCGGCACAAAATCATCCACACGCAGGTAGGTGGGGAGGTGAGGGGCGGAATGGGGTAGGGGACGGCTTCTCCCCACAGCCCCTAACTGGCCTCTCGTCCCCTCCTGTGCCCCCCCCTCCCCGCGCAGGAGAAGCCCCACAAGTGCAACCAGTGTGGGAAGGCGTTCAACAGGAGCTCCACGCTCAACACCCACATCCGCATCCACGCCGGCTACAAACCCTTCGTCTGCGAGTTCTGCGGCAAGGGCTTCCACCAGAAAGGTGAGAGGGGCCGGGTCGGGGAGGTTCCGTCACTATTAGCGCGGGGATCTAGCGGGCCCTGCCCGGCTGCGGGAACGGGGGGTGCGGGGCCGAGCCGCCGCCACCTCTCCCAATTACAGTCCTAAGCCGGGCCATAGCATGGGGACCGCTGCCGGGGCTCCCAAAATGCTTTTTAAATGAGAGGTGCGGGGCCGCGGACCTAATCCCGGGCGCTCTCCATTTGCCGCGGGTCACCGGGCTGACCCTGCCCTCATTTGTGCCCCGGCAATGACGCGGAGCAGCTCTGACAGCGGGACGGGGCGCGGGGGTTCGCTTCCTGCCCCCCTCACCTGGCGCCCTCGGTAACCCCTTTCCCACCTTCCTCCTCCCTCGCAGGCAACTACAAGAACCACAAGCTGACCCACAGCGGAGAGAAGCAGTACAAGTGCACCATTTGCAACAAAGCCTTCCACCAGATCTATAACTTGACTTTCCACATGCACACCCACAACGACAAGAAGCCCTTCACGTGCGTCACTTGCGGCAAAGGATTTTGCAGAAACTTTGATTTAAAGAAGCACGTCCGAAAGTTGCACGACAGCGTCTCCAGTGCTCCTCCGCCTCCACCCCGGGATCCAACGCGCAGCGGGCAGAGCTAAGGGCCGGCACAGCTCCCGGACCGCCGCTACCCATCCCAACTGCAGCCTTCGCTTCTCTGTCTTTTCCCCAGCGAGCTCAGCCGCCGGTAGCAAGCGACCTCGAGCTGCAGCTGTATATAAGAGGAATCCTATTTAACGGCGCTGCGGGCCAAGAGGGGCCGGGCCGGCTGCCTCCCCCCCGCCAGGACAGCGCTCTTTATACGTGTCTGTAAATCTCCATTTTAAATGTACGCTCGAATAAGTGAGGAATATATATATTATATATATATATATATAATCTATCATGGGACAATAAACCGGCCCTTCGTAGGTGTTTCATTTCCCATTCCGGCCCAGAGCCCGGCCCCGTGGGGGATGCCGTGTGCGGAGCCCGGAGGAGCGCGAGTGAGGGCCGCAGAGGGCCGGGCGGAGCCGCCCCCAGGAGAGGGGCTCGGTGGGCGCCCGCAGCTTCCCGGGGCCGCTCTCGTTCGGAGCTGTTCGGCCGCTCCTCGGTGCCTCTCCCCGCATGCAGATGAAGTGATCTCACGCTCGCTTTCCGAGTAATGACCCAAATTAAGAGAGAAAACACAGACCCTTCAAACCGCATTACATTAATCTAATCACTCCCAGCAGGCCTCAGAAACTCTTTTTGATCAGAATACGGATAATCAAGCACTTGGATTACACTAAATATTCCCTTCTCAGCTCCCCCCTTTCCCTACTTTTAATATGCGAGTGTCTATTCCGGCCACGTCGTTAGGAACAATATTATTCTAGTGGAGAAACGAGGCTGATCTCTGCGTGCTGCTCGGGCCGGGCTCGCCAATGAAGCGGGGAACGAGCGCGACACCCGAATGCCTGGGGACGCCGCGATGGGGAGTTCACCTTTCCCCGCTTAATGGAGCGATTAAACGGAGGGAGGCGAAGGCGAGCACAGCTCTGCGCCGAGAGAGGGGCCAGGAGGCGACCCCATGCTGCGCCTTTGCGGGTTGCGGTGCCGGGAGCGGTGCTCCGAGCCCCCCGGGCTGAGCTCCTCCTCACTCGAGTTTTGGGGTTTTTTCGATGCCAAAACGATCGCTTTGATGGTTTGGAGCGGTTGAGGCGTGGAGAGTGATGCGCGCTGATGCTGGTAGCGGGGAAAAGATCGGGGGAGAATTTGTTCTAAAAGACTTTTTGGGAGAGTTCCGGGTTAAAAAGAAATTAATAATAATAATTGGAATCCCAGCTACAAGTCATCGCTTTTGGAAACCTTAGGAGAGAGGGAATCCACCTCCAAGCGAAGAGGCTGTAGCTCAACCTCTCGCAAGCGGATCGCGGCTGCAGAGCGAGCCCGGCCCCGGCAGCCAGACGGGACGGGATCGGCGAGGGGGGCCCCGGAAATGCGGCAGGACGAAAAACCACGGCGGGACGAGGCCGGGAATCCCGCAGCTCCGAGCCGGTCCTGCCGCCGCTGCAGGGGAAGCGCACCTCGGGGCCGGGGGGAGTCGACAGCCAGAACTGGGCTCGGCCCCGAGCCCTTCCCGCAGCCCGGTGGGTGAGGCAGGGCAAGAGCCGCTCCCAGCAGGGAGCTGCAGAAGAGTTCTTTTCTCGTTCTGCTGACACGCAGCGCTGCCCGTAGAGCTGGCGGAGGGGCAGCGGCGGCCTCATCGCGGCTCGGAACGTCCTCGGGACACCTCGGAGGGCCGCGCCGGCCGCCCCTGGACGGGTTTTGTCACTTTGTCCCTCCGGGGGCGGCGGGCAGCGGTCCCAGACCGTCCTCGCTCCGGCCGCACCGAGAAACGGATGGCGAGGATCGGAGCCCCGGGAGCGCTGCCCGCCCCCGGCCGGGCTCTCGCCCCCATCCCGGCACACACAGGCGGCGGGTGGCGGGGGAGGGGCGGCTCTGTCAGACGCACACACGCCAGAGACTCCAATTATCTTCTCCCTCACAAGATGTTTCTGCTGTCCACGACTGCTCACACTTCAGCGCTCTTGCCAGCAAGCCTCAATGGTAACACAAAACCCGCACACAACCCCTTTTCCCGACGCCGCAGCCGCGCACACAACAGATTGAGCGGTGCCGGTGCCTCGGGGGGAGGGTTAGAAGTGCCTCCGGGCGGGGAACGGCACGAGGAGCTGCCGGGTCTCCCTCTCGGCCCGGCCCGGCCCAAAGCGGACTCCCGAGCCTGGTGCGTCGCGTCGGGCACCGGGAAGCGCCCGAGCCAAAGGCAGCCGCGTTGCCCTTTTCCCTGCACTCCGCTCTCCAAACGTCTGAGCAACCAGTTTGCTGCTAGAAACATGTTAATTGCCAACGGAGCTCATTAAGGCATGCACATGCAAAACACAGCGAGGGAGATTAAATGGACAAAAGCGCAATAATGAACTGTCAACAATCGAACCCATCTACAAGACCAGGAGCACTCAAGAATGAGGCATTTAGAGGCAACAAAGGATTGTCTGGGACAGGAAGAAAGGACGACCTAGACTTTTGTTTAGTCAACACAATTGATTACAAATGAGAGATTAACAGGATAGCTTCAGAGTTTTTTTGAAGGAGGCAGAAGAGAAAAGTCCAATTAAGTGCACCGAATGTTAACTACATTGATTTCCACGGCCAGCCCTAGAGAAATTCTCATTAAACCATCCCTGGCGATCCCTTTTGGAAAGTAATTTGTCTCCCTGATGGAGCAGAGAAAGGGAGCCGTGTAAAGAGAAAGAAGCGCTAGTTCTTGGCACAATGAGCTTAGGAGACACACTGGAAAGAGCCAAAGGGGGAGTTAATGAGCATCTGACAAGCCGCTTGGACCCGGGCCTGGAGAGCAGCGATGAAAAGATGGAATTGGCCAACAACTATTCTTTATATCAAACATAAAAAGGCCAATCTGAAACAGGGCTGCTCAAAGCTGGTGGGGAAGAAAAGAAAGGCCCCCACTGGGGGGTGGAGTGGAGCGCTCAACTGCCCCATCGGGACAGGAAAAAAAAATCCGCTCTGGCACATCCATGTCCCAGCGAGAGGGGCTGCCCGACCTCGGCACAGCCAGGCTTCGGCACAGCCCGGGCAGACTCGCCACGGCCGAAGCGCTGCACTCGCAGCCTGGCCGGGCCGGGCACGGTGCGGGATGCTGTCCCGGTCCTTCCCGAGGGTGCCGGTATCCCCGAAGCACCCGGGGGCCCCGCGCCTCTTCTCCTCCCGTGTAGACACGGTTCGTTCGGAGGCTCTTAAATCAGATTAGAGCTCGTTAATAACAATTTTGGCTTAAGTCTGTATTGACTTAGGTTTAGGAATGGCTTAGCGCTTTCGCTTAAGTCAACACGACGGCTGAATTGACACATGCCTTGCCCAGCCTGCCGATCCCTGCGGGCGCCCAGGTGCCGGCCGAGCTCTGCCCTCCTGCTTTAAGCCGCACGGAGCAGCATTTCTACCATTTTTAAGTAAGACGGCGGAGCTTCGAGAGAGCGACTCCCGCGTGTCAACCACGAGGGTCCCCAACGCCTCCCAGGGCACCGCTTTCCCCGACGGCGTGGTCAGAACCCGCTCCTTAACATCTCTCTCTCTCTTCAGATTTGCACCTCGAGGACTTCAGCTACCCCCCTTTTCTCCGGGGGGAGGGATAGGTAGGCTCTGGAACTCCACAGGCACAGTGCCACGAACACCGCGGCAGTGGGGACAGGCTGGGAGTGACACGCTCACCCCCCACGCCCTCTCCCAAGGGCTCCCGACCCGCGTAGCAGATCTCACACTGCGGCTGGTTTTACCTCGTGTCATTCATCTGCTCGATCTAGTTATTTGGGGTGAAGCCACCCCACAGGCAAAGTACCACCACAGACTCATTTCATAAAGAGAAAAGCCCCTCACTTACCCCCCCTTAGCTGCTGCTGCTATTCGCTCTGATTCTCCAGGTGACCAACCCTGCCTGGGTATTACTCCCATTTGCATGCTTATGGCTCACACGTGCTTAACTGATTTAATCACGGAAAGGTGAACCCAGCACGTGTCCTTAAGTAGGAATAAAAAAAGAGAAACCAAACAGCTGCGATTCCCTCTACTCTCTTCTGCACCTGTGGCTGGGGAAACACGTGTAGGTACTGAGAGAGCGTTCTGTAAGATCTGCTTTGAACTGCTTTACAGTATGTTTTGTTCTGGGGAAGCCTAATTGTCCCCAGTAAGGATGGGAGCAAAGAAAACGGGCCCGAAGTTCAGAATCAAGCTGATAAATCCCAAACAGCGCAAAACTTTTCCTACAACTACGGCGATTCTGCCGTCTTCTGTGCTTGCCCGACGCTGCGGCAGCGAGAAACGTTCGAAGTGATGTGCGGGCAGGGACTCAGCACCTCGCCGTGCCCGCGCAGGGTCACACGGTCACCCGTGGGGCAGCAACGCAGCCCCTCCTCTGCCGGTCCTTCCCCGAGCCCCGTCTCCACAGAGCGGCCCCGGTACCCACACGGGAGGCACAGCCCGGCCCCTAAATCCCACGGAGCGAAGCGCTAACAGCCGCTCGTAAGGACCGAGCCCCAGTAGCTGAATGTGTCCCCAGTTGGGAACGTTTGCCGTGTAAAGCAAGCAGGCGTTTTGGATCACACAGAGAGCACCTGAACCCTGCTGCAACCACGTAACCACGTCCCGTTATCTGTCTTACTCCTTCTACCGTCTTCCTCAGTGCTGTCAGTTGCCAAGCTATTGCACGTAAATAGAAGCTTTCTGATTTATAACCAGCCTCTTCTTTCTGATTCATTACGTTAATGAATTGAGATGTTACCAACATTGGATTAGCGCATAAATGAATGAATCCAGCAAAAGAAAGCTGATTATGGAGGGAAAAGCCAATCGTGCCCATAAACTAAATAAAAAGGAACGCCCGAGCAATGGGGTAAAGCAGCTGAAGTTGTTTCAGCTCACCCCAAACACTGCTCACAGCAGACGGGGGGCTGACATCGTCTGTTCCCATGCAAAGCTCTCCTTTGCAGATTTGCGGACGTGGCTCCCACCGTCACGGCTCTCACTACGGCTGTTACCGGGATCACAGCAGCCGCCTCGAGCCGCCTCGGGGATGCCGGCGCCGCAGCCCACGCTTCGGGCACGCTTTGCGGCGCGCTGCTCCGCCGGTGCGCAGCTCGAGTGCCCCGCTAAGACGCACCGCGCCCGTCCGTGCTCCAGGTTGGGCTTTCTACCCATTTCAAACTGGAAAACGGCAGAGGAATGCTATTTCTCTCCTCTCTTTTCTTCCTTTTCTAAGCTTGGGCTTCCCGCACCCCGAGCAGCTCCGTGCCCAGCGATGTGGGCACCCCGCGCACACCGGGACGAAGCTGCGGGTGCAGGGCTGCCACGGCGCCGTCCTCCGGAGCTTCTGTTAAGCAAGTTAGAGCACCAGCCACGAAGCTACTGGGGACGCACACAAACTAAACGGGTAAAGAAACACAAGGCTGGAAACCGAAACGACGTTTCCAGCCCCTCTGTGAGGCAGGTACTAATTACTGCCGCTTCCAGCTAGGCATTAGGCAAGGAGACTGCAATTTACTAAAGGACACCGAATTTTTCCTTTTATTAATTTGCAATATATTTGTAAAATAATCTTACGGCAGCTGGCTCTGCTTGAATCTGTTTCAAAAGTGTGATGTAAATACCGTCTCACACTATTCTGCAGCCTATTAGGGCTTGCTGGTAGGTGATACGACTGAGAGGAGAAAGAACACCACACATTTATTTTTAAGATCATCATCACTAGTGATAAAACTTATGGGAAGAAGCGATCATACTTCCTATTTGTATGCAGCAATGACAAACGTATGCAAAGTAACTCAAATGAAAAAGATGCAATTGCAGGGATACATATGCACACACACAGTGGACACATTTTTAAGAGCCATTAAGGCATTTTTAAGAGCCATTTCAGCTATGTTTAAAAGCAGCAGCAAATTCCCAAGTTAAACCACGCTATTTACTGCAGGGGAACCTACAAAACTTATTTTTTCCACCTATTTCCTTTGCAAGAGCTTAAAATTTATCCACATCTTGCAAATAATCACATATTTGATTAAGCACATGCTTACTATGAAGCGATAGAGAGCATAAATAACCTACCCTGGATTTATTACATTTTGACTTTTCATCAACAAACTTCTGAGATTCTAATCTTCATTCAGCAGATAAACATTTCTGATGGGTCTCAAAGGAAAATGAAGGATAATAAGCAGCACACCTAAGCAAAGCATCCATCACCTGCAGACTCAGTGCACATCAGCTACAGAAGGCACCGACTTACACACGGTTTGTCCATGCGATACAACACCAAAATCCACCAGGCTGTGAATACAAGATGAAAGCTTTACTTAAACTGTATCATATTGTATCAGTGGATTATAATCCTCAAGCAAACAGAATATTGCAGTAATGACGATTTGAGCATTACAAATATGTTAAAACAGCTTGCATTTGGGGTGATATTTAAGGTCAAGTTGTATCTGAACACAACTATTAAAATATTATGAAACTTAGCATTATGGAGTAAGTAATGTTTTCTTTCAGACATAACCCTCTAAAACTGCATTCCATTTTTTTCCCCTTATTTTTCACTATCAGCAAGCTCAAAGTGAGCACCTATAACCCTGGCTGCACAACGTGAATGAATTAGAGAGGTGGAACTATCAGCTCTGCCTAGAGCCTGGCTCCCAACTTCTATGAAAACGTGACCTGCAGAAATATAACTGAGAGGAACCACAGCGACAAGTATCATGTATCCAAGCCCTTCTGTTATCCCATATACACCTTCAAATGAAACCAATAAGCTTGAGAAAGACTCAGTGGAATAAGAAACTTCCTATCCCAGGGAAAACTTACATGCTCTCTGCTACTGCCCCCACTGCTAGAATGGCTGAGACAATGAAATCCTTGGGAATGTGAGGATAGAGGTGACAAAATGGGTGAGCTTACTCATCCATCCACAAACCCCCAAAATTGCTTCTTCTTATAAGATTCTTGATCATTAACTTACAAACAGGCAAAAACCATTTGTTTTTTCTCCTGCTTTTCTCTCCCTTGTGTTCTCTGACCCACCGGGAAAGCAGAAGAAGCAAGAAGCAGGACCACTGCAGCTTATGCATACATATGCTTTAGCACAAAGGGGCAAGCCCCACATCAAGAATGCAGAGTAACAGGTTACTTTCGGAGTAAAAAAAGCCCTTTACCCCAGAATGGATAAAAAGCCTGGGATGAGACAGTGGGATGACTACACTGAATTCATCTTCTTGAAGGATCGGCATTGAGACAGAAGAATACTCATTCAAGATCTCATTTAATGCCAGTATTAAATCATGGCAGTATAGATCAATGTATAGTTCTAGTTTTGGTTTTTATCTAAATACACTTAAGCTATTACAGGAGTGCTTTCCCAATGTGGGTCTACCCAAAGGCAGGTGGCAAGCCAGCTCAGCCACACAGAAATGGCACCAGGTATAACAAGAGATACCATAACGTCATGTGCTCTGCCACTGCTTGCCCCAAGCTTTGTGACACATCAGGACACACCTGCCTTCTACCTAGCAGCCCTGCTACGTGCCTCCTTGCACCTATTGGTTTGCTGTTTAGCTCATACACGACTGCATTTCCACCTTTCAGACCACAGCCCAACAAAAAGGCCCCTGTCAGCCAGAGAAGATGCCTATACACATTCCTACTTTAAAAGTTTCCTCTCTATTTTTATTCTAATCAATTTTCTGGACCTGTTCCTATATAACATTCTATCTGCTAGCTGTCCTGAAGCTACAGCACAGAAAAAAACGTAATTTCCTTTTCTGAAAAGATGACAAATTTTAATCTTCACCTCTTAGCCTGATAAAAGAGGGGAAAAAAAAATCAGAAAGACAGCATCCAAGTATCTAATGAAGTATCTAATAATACCTGACAGTTCAAACTATGTTTGTTACCAAGGGAATTGCTTTTGTCTTTATTTTTACAGCAGTTAAACAATGGCACAGAGCCCTTTTCTCTCCGGCTGCTCTTTCCTCACAGTGCACACTGCCTTCCTTCCACCAGAAACCAAAAGCAGCAAGGAAATGGTGAGCATCTGCATTGTGTCCCAGCGTTTAGGCGGAGTCCAAAGAGATAAAGACCCAGATTATTCACACGTATAAAGTACTTAGGGGCCCAGATTTTAGTTTAAGCGATTTCCCTTTCCATGCAAAGACCGGGATGAGCCCTAGCCTTTGTTAGCAACAGCTCGCCCACCCCTTTTGTGGGAGAGGGGCACTGCATGTAATTGCTTTTCCCCTCCTGTACGTTCAACTGATTGCAATTATTTGCGTTTTTAAATTGGAGCTCAATGATTCGAAGATCCACACACATTCCCACCAAATCAGACTGAGAACCACGTTGCGATCTCACAGAAGAAAATATTACCAAGTTGTCTTTGTGACAGAACACTGAGTAGGTATAAAATTGCAATGGTCTCTCTGCCAGGTTTTTTTAAGCTCTCTGCTAGTAAGATGAAAGCCTAATTTGATATTTTTGTAGTTATATAACAGTTCTAATATTTTGTGACATTTTGTATTGTGACACTATAGATGAAATTGTCATCGGACTGACACCCTTTACTGTTTATTCCTTAATTACAACTGTTAACAACACTGCAGAGAAGCGTGCTAATCTGCCATCACATATTATGAAAACAACGTTATTGTTACAAACACCAACACCCACTCAACAGGATATTTCTAAGATGGCAGTTTCTGTAAAAACTTATCAGTTTAATGGACACTTTAAAAGAAAAAGTTTTAAATGAACTCCTAGCATTCCCACTGAAAATATACAACATCTTCAAAACTGAAGTTTTACTCTTTTTTTTCCTCCTGTGTGCAAATGATACTTTGACTAATTGAAATCCAGACAAAACTGACTGCCTAATTTCAGGAAGGAGCTCTCATGGATACTGGTCCTTCAGGTTCAGCCAGGCTTCCTAGAGCTCCCAGCCAGAAGTCCATTCTCTAGTTCAGACTGAACTACAAACTCCCCACCATCAGCTCATCAACCTGTGAATATCTGAGCTATGTTTAATGGACAGAACACGTGTTCTTCAGTCCACAGGTCTGAGCCAATTCATGTATTTATCAATAATGCTGCTAGAAACTGAGTTTCAATAAAAGTACTTCCCTAGTCTAGCACAAAAAATATTTGTATCTCTAAGTAACACGGAGATGCATTGATCAGTTCATTAACAGATCAGCAAAAATTAGTAATTACAATTTTTCCAAATCCCCAGGCTCTGGCAGAAGTCAACTTCTTTTATTCCTGTTCCAGATCAGGGGCCGTTGTTGTCCCAGTCAGAAGAACATTGCAGCATATAAGATTAAATTTTAGCAATATATCGACTCCAGCCCAGGTTCTCCCTTCCTTTCTTTCTTTGAAGCATCCTTCACATAGGAAGAGTGAAATTTCTTCAGGACAAGTCACAAATCTAGAAGTCTTTTCCAATGAACTCTAAAAGAAGATGTGGAGGAACAGCTCAATGGCTGAGAAAGAATCTCTGCAGCTTCTATGTTCTTGGTTGTATGACAGCTGCTGCAGGCAACCTTCCTGCTTGCTCCTATCAAACTCCTCATGCTTAAGTTAAAGACCTCACTTATAGGATGCCACCATAAAGAAAATAGCATTAAGCCTAGGAGCAGCAGAAAGTTCCTATGGGTTTGTTTGTATTTTCTTGTCTTTACTCACAAGTTAGATAGCACGAGGCTGGGAAAAGCAGCAGCAGTTAAAGGAGAGAGGTGCAGAAGCAATAGAAGTGGCAATGCCAAAAACAACAACAATCAGGGAAAGCAAGATATGCAAATCCAAGGTGTTCTCCCCACATCTGCTGTCATGAATGTTTCCACACAGATCACTGCTGCTGAATCAGGACTGATGCAAAGTGCCTGCCCTTCCCACTAATGGCAAATTCTTCCTTTCTGCTTCATCCACAGACATGTGCATGCAACAGAGATGAATGCAGTGTAAAAAGATTATGTATGAATATATCTTTAGTTATCACACTTACACAGAAAAGCAGAGGATTGCAAATAACCTAAGACTCTACTTATATTGAAGCTGCGATCACCTTGGTGGGTGATTTGACTTTTGGTCCAAAAAGCCCCCTTCAGCAGCACTGCTTCTCCCATTGTGAGGAATTCTAGTCTAAGCTCTCCAAAAGCAGACGCCACCATTCAAACTGAAGTTTTACACGCGGAGACAACAGAAACAAATTATCCAGTACAGTTCGTTTTCATCTCAAACAATTTACATTACCATTTAATGGCATAATATTACATTCTATAACGTGGAAGATATTGTCTGCTCAAACCAGAATTACAAAACAAAATCAGAGTATTTGTTTTTGTGAATCTTCTTCTGGGTAGCTTATGTTGTTCTGCTTTGTAGTTTTCAGTTTCTTAAAACCAATGGGATATTCTGCTCTTCCTAAAAGAAACTCTTCCCAATTGGGAAGAGAATCTTTTACTGAAGCCCAATAGAGAGTCTGAGAAAGACATAAAAAAAAATAAAAATCAACTTTATTTCAAAATCTGCATCAGCATGTTTACAAACAATAGATATATGCAATGGATTTTCAAATCTTGCCTTATGAGTGAAGCAGTTCAGGAAAGAACAATGTACTTGCACACAAAGTTATCAATCTCTCATACGATGCAAAACACCAGACTGGAAGGATTTCATCTTGTGGCATGAACTGTGAAGTGTCTGAATCTGCCCTCTTGTGGTAAGCACAGATTAATTCAGACCCTCAGCATGCCTTCAATAAAATATTTTCTGTGATTCTAAGCTTCTCCAAAAGCAGCTTTCATATTTAAATACATGCATTAGTTGCATTTAAATTTGAAATAAAAAAAAAAATCTGCTTCATGCTATAAACAGAAAGTGCTATGTAAGCTGCTTTCCTTAGAAAAGTTTGCAGCAATGCAGCTCAAACTATTTGAGTAAAATTTCAGCTGTGATAAATCAGCGGCACAGTAATTGGCTCCAGGATTTGCGTCACGAAAGGAAAAGGCCATCTAGTCATCTCGTGGTCAGAAAAGAACACTGGGTTATCTAACCCTGTGCGTTACTCAGTGCCTCTGACTAAGAAACCTGACTTCCATTCTACTGCTAGGACGGACATACTGACCGTACTTTGGTGCTAGCACTCAGGAGAACTGTGCTTCTCCTAGAACTTTGAAGAAGAAATGCTTAGTGACGCCTCTTCTTTTTTCTCCACAAGATAATGTGATCAAGAGCCAGATGAAACTTACACATCCAATTCTCTAAGGTAAGTGGAGGTATTTTGAGATACCTATGTTCATTCAGTAAAAAGTAATTTTGTAGCAGAAAACATGTACGGTGCCATATGCATTTTGTTTCCTCTACTTGTTTAAATATATAACGTTCACTTTATAGTACTCTTCTACATCTTTCTACAGAGTATTAGATTCCTGGCTAATCATCCTGATTCTTACATGTAACTCAGATATAACTACAGCTCTTGCAGATTTACAAAAATATTTTCTTCAACAGATTTACTCAAAGAATCTTTTTTGACAAGCATATGTGCTGTCACACAAAACTACTCTGACTTAGCAAGCTGGGGATCCATTACAGCCATAACTTTCAAAGTATATTAATACAGACACATATATGGCTGAGTGAAATATGCTCAGAAGTGTTTTGGAGCAGAGCACACACCAGAATTTTGTACCATGAAAAAGTTTTCTTTTTCTACTATTTATAGCACTCTTCTTTAGAAGTACAAAAAAGGCTGAAATAGGATCTTCTGCTTCAAATAGTAACATCGTTCTCTCAAAAATTCTGCCACTATACCACTATGCTAAAGAGCACAAAGATCCCTGCAGCTATCAGCTCTGTGCTCTCAGTACATGTGGACTTCAGTCTACATCCCATAAGCAGCTTAAGCATCTAATACAGGACAAAGACAGAAGCTGAACTCCTAGTCCAAAACTGATCCAAACAACTCTTCAGGTGCCTTGAAGTCCTCTAAGAGTCTAAAACTCTACTTCTGAGCACAGTCAGATTGGGCTCAACCAAGTACTTTGGCAGCCTTCTCAGTGTCATTCAAGACGTACAGGTATCCAGGAAGAACATTTGATTTTTCCTAAAAATTTTTTAAAACCCCACTAAAAGGGCATTCTGAGAGCGTACCTTGTCACAGCCATGGGAGTCAGCCATTTATGAACTAGAAAGGCAGACAACATCTTTTAACAGTAACTAAAACAAGGAACGATGCTTCTCATTTAAGTAGCAGCCTAAGTATTACAACACTTGCCCAGCAGGTGTGAAATCAACATACAATACACCTCACCATCAGATGAAAACATTACAGTTCATACCTTTCCTCTCCTTTGACAACACACAGAATCGTGTGGGACATGCTATGTTTGTGGAAAATAACTCACTGCATAATGACGAACCCACAAATCACTGGTGCAAGAAACACACGCAGGACTATGATTTGGGGTCCCTGTGGTTAGATGTTCAGTTTCTATCAGGAATAAGCTGTGTTCCTACTTCTGCTCCTAAGAGTGCTCCTGTCCTCCTCATTCATTCATCGCAGCGCAATACTGAGAAAACGGTCTTGAGATTAGAGAACTGAAACTGGTGTGTTTTATCAGAACAACATTTTGTTCTCAGAGTAGCAACTTCCTCAAAATTGCCATCTTTAAATAATGCTTCAGGGACTATGAGTGAGAAGAAAAATCCCAGGTTTAGCACTACTTCTCCTGGGATCCTGTACGACCTGATAAAATAACTGTGAGAAGTGAAACCTTCTCTGTTCAAGTTGATAAACTGTTGACTCTGAAATGTAAGGATGACAACCTGCAGCACACTGAAAACAGGATGTCTGTGTAAAACAAAGCAGCTCTGACATAACAGTCACAGTAGTCATCGTAAAAATTGAATTTTGTCAATATCATCCATTTTCATTTTTAAATACAAGTATGTAAAGATCTGAAAGCTGCAAAACATTTCCACCAGAATGCTCCAGAATCTAGGGCCCTTGCCCTAGAAGTTAGGTTCAGCTTGCTGCACAGCACACAGGCCTTTGGCTATACCAGTCACTGGATTTTAAAATCAATTATTTTCACTTTAAGAACATGCTTGGGGGGGATGGGGAGCAAAATATTTGGTAAACAGCAACAAAAAGACAGAGTTCTAGGACTTACTTCTAGCTTAACAGTATCGGGATGTGGAAGTAAATACATTCTTTCTTGCAGCTTTTTTTCTGCTGCTTCTATGTCCTAAAACACAGGCAAAGCACATTTTAAAAACACAGTGGGAATATTGAAAGGAAAATATACTCACATAAAGACATTTAGATTAATTAAGCTAACTCATTAAACCTAAACAGTACTCAAATAACAACACTGGAGGTTCAAAACTTTCTCTGCAGCCATTCTGGAATCTAACTTGTAAGATTAGGAACCTACAGTTTCTAAATGCTTACTGTAACTTTCTGATAAAAGAACAAATGTTTTACCACATAGGTTTGTTGCTGTAAAGCACTGCTGTTCTGTCTGAACGCTAAAGTAAATTACAATTAAATTCCATTCTCTATGATTTACAGCAATGAAGAATAGAATGGTTTGTTCTGTGCTGCATGAAAACTGAAGTATGTATTCTAGCTACTGTAACTGTAAAGTAACTAGGCAAATTATGTGCAAGATCTTTACTTCTCAAGACAAAGATGACTTGCTAATATGCATGCATAACATGTGCACAAAAATGTAGAGCTGCAGCAAGCTGTTCACCAGACAAACTTGGATGACAATGCACCTCACATAGCTTTCTTATAAAAATCAGTATTTGGGTTTCTGCTTGCCCAGTGGATGTGTGCTGGATTCACAAAGGCCTAAATAAATTTTAAAAACAGAAACAGCAGTGACAAACAAATAAAACCCATCACCCCAAATTAGCCCCCTTCCCCCTTAAAGTTCTGACCCATTCTTGTGGGCTTAGTTCCATACCCAAACATTGAAGAGATTGAGTGGTGGGCAGATGAAGAGAGACAGAAAGGGACGTGGGAGTGGGGTGTGAAGAAGCCAAAGCTGAACAGAGTGGAGGGGGAAAGAAAGTGTAGCAGATGGCAGAGTTGGGAGCAGAGAGCGGGTGTGAAGAGTACAACAGAAAAACTAAATGAGAGAGGAAATTCCCCAAAGGGACTTCCCAAATATTCACCACCACTGCTGCTGAAAAGAAGAGTGCGATTCTGGAGAAGCATATCCTCAAGAGAGACCAAACATGATTACTCGTGTTGAATAATAGCCAATACGAATACATCAAAAATAAACAGTGCTCAACTTCAGTTTAGTTTGAGAAACATGGCTCAAATTCAGCTGGTATGGTTAATAAAAACAGAAACCTGTTAGCTCAAGTTCAACTTAGTAACACACTCAGTTCATTCACTCTACAGTGTTCATCTTATTCTATTTCATTAAACCCTTTTACACCATGACTAAATTCTCTAGTAAAAGTCCCCTTTTGTACAGGGGAGTTTACAACCTTGGAGAAGCCAAGGGACATTTAAGAACAAACTTAGATCTTGGATTTATCCAAATCCCAGAAGCAGCAAGTGGCTGCCTCTTGTCAGGTGAGAAAAGAGAATAAACATACAGAGGGAATGTAAGCAAAACCAGAAGCCACCTGAAGTCACAATGTCAATAAAAACAATAGAAGACATAAAAGAATTCACTAAACTAAGTATGGACTTTGTTGCATGTGCTTAGAACAGACAGACCATCAATCGCACTGAACGAAGCTCATCTCAGTATGGCTCTGATGAAGGCTGGAGAAGATATCACCACATCCAGAAGAACTATCAAGCACTAAAGTTTGTTTCATGTTCTCCCACAGGATTTTTCCCCTTTCTAAAGCAATTTTCACAGGAAGGAAGAGCATCAAAAAATCATTTCTTTAGCTATTCAGTTAAGGGCATCAGAATGTTTATGGTCATTGGAAATTTATGTATTCCAAGCAAAAAAAGGAGAGAGCAGTTGTGCATATATGTTTAGTGGAGAAGGTCACTTTGGCATAGCCTAGATATCGGATGTGTCTTTTTGTTGCTCACTCGAGTTTGTGTTGTGCAGTCTATTGTCAGAATACTGATTTAATGACAGACAGTGAACAAAATTTTTGCTGGAAGGTGTAGTATGCTTTAGAAAAATAACTAAGATTAGATGGCATTTCTTTCATGTCTATGCAACCGGTGAACTTTGCAGGGAAGAGGAATCTCCATCTTCAATTATAAATAAATACATTGGTGTAAGTTTCTTTGGAAAAAAAAATAGCAACAAATTTAATATGTCACAATATAGAGAGAAAAAAAAAAAAAAAAAAAGAGAGCATCTTGCAGCACTTTCCCCTGAAACTACAAGGACTGGAACAAAAACAATTCAAGACCCTTCCCCAGAGGTAAAATGGAATGCATGACAAACACGTCGCTGTTAGGGGACCAAATTCAACTGTCACTTCTATTGATAAGAGCCTGGCAGAATCCCACCTCAGTAATTCTGCAATTACATGCCCATACAGGAAATCAAACTCAGTCTAAATTACTTACATAGTACTAAAAATCGAAGAGCATATTCCCTATTTTCTATTTCATGATATAAGATGCTGGACCAAAATAACAACAGAACTGATAAACCAGAAATGTTACTGACAAACAAGTCTCATAAATTAGATTGTAAATACTGGTCTAATTTCTGCTTTTGTTATGAAAACATTATATAAGCACCAGATGATACAGATTTCTCTAATCTGCAGTATCCCTCTAAAGACATTAAGTGAAATACTCTGACAATTATGTTAAAATGCTGAACAAGTGCTTATAATGCTAAAATTTCAATTAAAAAAAGATGTTTAGTTCCCTGCTTCCTGCTGATTAGAAAATAAATTGATCTTGAAATGCTTTCCTGTGCATAAATATCAACTAGCACTGAGAAAGAAAAATGTCTCTTCCTATGATCACATATTGAAAACTGATTTTGCTTACATGCAGAAAAACAGAAATGCAAATAAAAAAATAACACTTCATCATGTCCGTGTATTTTTTAGTAGGCCAAATCAACAACTCTCCACATGGTAACTGTGAAATGTACAGTGCCTGGTATCAGGAACAATATTCTGAAGCTGGCACATTAATCAGTCTTGTTTTCAAGCGTCTCATGTATTATTCTGCAGAGATTTTTTTTGTTCTTTTCTATTCTGTTATCAGAAAGCATCTGCAGGAGTGCACGTCTGTTAAAATCAGTATAAAATAAATAGATTTAAACTGATTTATGCTACTTTATCCTGCCACAGAATTTGTTTTGATACATATGTTTTTGCTTTTTTTTTTTTTTTGTACAAACACCAACATTTTTGACACTTGAAAGGAACAATTTTGAGGATGTGACAGAAGATGGCAAATATCTGTGTAGCTGCAAAAATATTTACACTCTGTATATGTCTAAGTTATTGTTAACATTTCCAATACAACAAGTTTTCAGAAAATATATCCTGCATTTCTTATGCTTGCTTGTGTACATTAGCTGAGAATGCACTGGTAAAATAAAGATCATTTATAAAAAAAAAGACAACTAGCAATATGAAAAATAGATCTACGGTAATTATAAAATGAGAGTCATAACATGAAATTACTAAAGCAGAGGAAAATGAACTATGATGCAAGAAAATAAACAACTCATCCCTTTCTATCAACCTCACCCTGAAGCACCTACATAGTCCATGCCCACTGCAGAGGCATTTGATTGCCCCAGCCCAGCATGCAGCAGCTGACTGGAGTTTGAGTTGAAGTCCTCCCTCATCACACAGTATTTAAGAAGGCATCACACATTAACTGTTCTGCCTTATCTGCCACTCCCTAAATATAGCTTCCATTAAAATTCAAAAAGAGCTTGCTTCAGAATCATACCCACCTAAAATGCGAATGTTTTTAAACCTTGATCAGGTTCTGCATGAAGAAGCAAAAAAAAACATTTGATGGTAAAATAAAACTTTTAATTTTCTAAAGTAAAACTTCTAATTTCAAAAGATTCAATACACACTATATGGGATCTTAATAATTAAGAGTTGAAGAAAATGCCTGTGAGAAGCAGATGACCATTTTTCAAATGCATGCTCATGTCAGTAGTCAAGTGCCATCTCTCCAAACTCAGATGCCTAAGCTAAAGCTCAATTAGAAATTCTAGCATTCTAGTCCCCAACATCAAACTCAGATCTTCATTTCCAGTTCTCAAACATCCACTTAACTAACCTAGAAAACATAAACTATACCCAAACATGAGAACAGATATATAGAACAGCTATTAACATTAACAGTATCACCACTGAGAAGAACCAGAAAGACCAAGCATTGATTTTACAATACTTGCAAGTAATATTCTTGAAGTCATTCTACCTCTCCTTAAAGAAAAATAACTGAGGACTTCTTCTGTAATTTCACACAATCACAGCTGGACAACAGTTCCTACCCTGGACTAAAAGCATCTTAACCTGGGCAGCACCCATTTCCAAACATAATCCCAACTCTTGAATCAAAGTGTGAAGGTCTTGGAGTCTAGTTACACTAAGGCTGTCTTAGGCAGAAAGTAATAGCACGTGTTGCATCTCTGCAAATACTTCAGAAAAAAAAAAAAAAGAGAGACAGCAGCTGCCACCACAAGGCTCAAATAAGAAGGGCATGTAAAATAGGTAGTAGTGCCATCCGATAATAGAGACTTGCCATTTGATACTTTTGGTCAAGTTCCAGAAGAAAAAAGAGAATATAGGAGAACTCCAGTGATAGCAACAGAGCAAACATTTTTTAAAAATCATCTTAGCTGCATAATCATGACATTTCAACTCAGTTCCTGGTAGTTGCAGAAACTTACATTTAAAAGTGCTGCATTCCTTCTACGAGCTGCATCAGCTGCTTGAGTTTGCCATGTCTTTTTAGTCTTTTTGTCTCCTAGATAAGTCTCCATCTGCTGTAGCAGCGCTGATCTCTGAGACAGTCTACAAAGGAAAACATTTTGCTAAGTGGGTAGAACATTTTGCTCAGGAGCTAGAAAATAACCTTTTTACCTTACCCAGTTTTCTCAAAACCATGGGGCTAATTAAGCCCGCTGTAGGGTGGGTGTGCTGGGGGAGGGAAAAGGTACAGGCAGACACCACCTGCTGTGCTTGTACGAAGCTATAATATTGCAACCAACAGTCCTCATATGCTAAGGTGCTTAGAAGCACTGAATCTCCCAGAAGAGGAAAGACAGGGTGGGCTGGGGTGACTTGATCAGTACTACTCCTGTGCACCGGCAAGTTGTTATAACTAGCTGTTAGAAGAAAAGCAGAGTTTCCTGACTATTACTGTATTTGCTTCACAACCTTAGTTTAAGGGGTGAAAAAGATGCAGCTCAATAACTGAGGCGCAGAGTGACAATGCAAATACCTTTCCCACAAAGGAGCTCAGTGGTGACAGGAGGTTAACAATGGAGATCTTAAACCAGTACCATCATCACAAGTCAAAAAACCTCATCAGTCTAAATACTCTCACCAGCAATGACACTAATTCCAGCAGTTCATGAAGGAAGAGTGCCACCTCCTGGATCACTGGCCCCTCAGTAAAATACTACCGTGCACTCTAAAGGTCTGATTAACTGTTCAAAGGATGGAAACGCGAGACCCCTCTGGACCACAGCACAAACTGCTGTGGGGCAGGCGCAGCCACTGAGGAAGTCACTTACATCTCCTCGTGTCTCCTAGCCAGATGAACTTCCTGAGCCAAATAGGACGACATCTTCTGTTGCTTGTCCAGGTTTTGTCACTGCCTTAAAGCAAAACCAAGTGAAATTAGAGTCCTCCAAAGGCATGCACAAACACTTGCTTTTCAGTAGCAAAGCATTCCAAGTTAACATTTGCATGCATTATATTTATATAATTTATCAGCCACGTAAATAAAACTCGCTTATAAATTTTAATAGCATAAGACATTGTTACATTGTGGTTTGAACACAAACACACGCACCACAAGTGTCTACAATACACATTAGGAAAACCTTATTGAATTCTAACATTTCTACTTGGGAACTAAAATTTGACTTCCAACCTTCAGATTTCATAAAGCTTTCTCAAACGTCACCTGCTTACAGCCACCACACACAAAGGCCCTCAGAGGTCCCTTCCAACTCTAAGGATTCTATGACTCTGTCGTGTGCTCACATAGTTTGTGTATCACTGTTCACAGCAGTGATTTCGGGCTTCATGGTGGTACTATGAGTACAAAGTTGCAATTGGAGTTCACACTATGCCTCAAAGTGCCTCCTGTGAAATATCACAGAATGAAAGGGATCTTGGAGGACCATCGATTCCAACCCCCCTGCTAAAGCAGGTTCCCTACATGAGGTTGCAGATACACAGGTAAATACAGGCATGATTTAACAACTGAAGTCAGTGAACCAGCTTAAATTTCGGGCCCTTGAAAGAATCAGCTCTTCAGTAAAGTAACAGGAGATAACTGAACAGGGGGTTACGTGCACACCTTGATGGCTCTGGGGTTCTTTTAGCTGTGGTGGGATCAGGTGCCCACTGCCCACATTGCGGCCCCCAGCACTACTCAGAAGCTTGGAGGCGTTTTGCCGTCAATTAATCCTTTCCACCTCAGAAGCGCATTACTGTCCCAGAAATCAGCCTCAACACCATAAACTGCCACATGAAAGGCGGGAGAAATAAAACGCCAGGCAGTCAGAACACCTATGAGGGCACGTCCGAGACCACTCCTAACTCTGAAGCAGGACACACGTGACTTCGGCAGAAACTGATGTGTTCTACCTCACCCAGCAGACTCCCCGCCCTTCCGCTCTGTTTCCAGCGCTTCCCTTTCCCCTCAGGAGGTCCCCATCACCTCCGTGCTCCCTTCCTAAAAAACCTAGTTTACCTTCAGCCTTTGCGGCTTGCAAAAGCAAAGCCACCTCTCACCGTGGCCTCCGCGACGCCGCCGCCACCCCCCTGCTGGCTGCCATGGAGACGGCCGGAAGGGCGGGGCTTACCCATCAGCTCGCTATGGCCGCGTCGCGCCTCCGCGCTCAGGCCTGCCCCCTCAGCTTGTGATTGGAGGGATGGGAGGAAGCAAGAGCCAATCAGAACCGGGGGCGGGCAGAGGGGCGTCTCGCGCAGTGACCGTTACCCCTCAGAAGGCGTGGAGGCGCTTGAGGGTGTGGTTGTGTGGGAGTTTCTGCTGCGCGTTTGGCGATGGTTTGGGCTTTGCGTTCTAAGCATCTGAGCGCTACTGAGGCTGATTCCTTCAGACTTCCGTTAAAACACATTTCTTTAAGAGGCACAATTAACCCACTTTTTGTGTTTTGTCCTTGCAGAAAACACGAGCCAGGAAACTGTATGTCAAATACCATATGGCTGTTCAATACAACTCACATTTTCTTCATTTTTTTCCCCACTGTTGTCTGACAAATTTAAGCACACTGACGGTGCAGGTGGTTTCTAAAAGAGTTCATTTTCCCAATGCAAACATTCTCTTTTTAGGAGACTTCAGCAGGAACCTGCCCCACTGCTGATCAGGTTTTCCTTGTGATTCCTCAGTTCCTTCTCTTTTCCCTCCTTACTACAGCATGTGGGATAAATAGTCCATAAAATCTTCATTTTACTTGGAACGCAATTTACACATTCTACTGAGTTACACCAGTTATCCTTAATGGCAGCAATCTCTCCCTTTTTATTTTTTTTGGTAGCATGGTAGCATTTGATGAATTCCATAAAGAGTGGGCACAAATTGAACTTTGTCGTATGTAAACCACTGCATATGTCATTTGTAGACAGAAAGCAAAGGACAAGAACGTTTGTGTTAAGCTGCAGGTACTGTCAGTTGTTCAGTGTTGTGGGAGCAGAGGATGGAAAACGTAACTTCTTAATGACCTCTTTATATGACAGTGGGGTGGAACAATATGTCAATAGCTAATGAGCTATAAACTATGGTTTGTTTGTTTGTTTGTTTTCATCAGAAATATAGCCTAACCTAGTTTAGTTCCCAATTTGTCAAGATCGCAAGTTCTAAACTTCCTTTAAAAAAGAAATCTGGCACTAACAGTCAAAAATCCCCATAGCAGGCTGCTTTGAATAGCTGGTTCCTTGTATTGCAAGGCAGCCACAATGAAAGCCTCGAAGGGCATTGCAGAAATGGGGATTTATGAATGGGGTGGACTTACATGACGAAAGACATTCTCTTGGTGGTTGGCAACCCTGCACATAGCAGGGGGGTTGAAACTAGCTGATCATTGTGGTCCTTTTCAACCCAGGCCTGTCTATGATTCTATGATTCTTGCAGACCTCAGCGTGCTGGCACCTAACTGAAATGTGCTCTGTAGATTATTATGCTTCCATCCCTCTCTGTTTCCAATTACACAGGGCATTTTACATAATCTGGTAAATTTCTTTAAATTTCTTTCAGTAAAAATACATTCCGCCCCCCCCCCCCCAGAAACAGTCATCTCTTCATTAAACGCATCTATCTGAATTTACTGTTGCATCACTAATTAAATAACAACAACAAAAGATCTTAAAAACTAGTTACCTGTATCTGAGGCCCTGAGATCTGTTTTTCCTGCCCTGCTGTGCAGATGTCAGAGTGCAGTTTGACATCAGTTTCGCTGTTGCTTGGTTGCAGTCTTTTGAAACAGTGTTATGCATGAGAGCTGTTCTCCATATAGTCTGGGAGTGACTAAATATGGATTAAGGACATACTGTTAGTACTGAAACGTAGGCATTATGACCCTGTGTGTTTTCTTAGCCCACACGCTTCGGTTTTACTCTGAAAATGTAGGGAAAAGGGTTTTCGGAGTGAAATTTGTGAATTGTAACACTAGGTGGCACTTAAACACAGCTAACAAAAGCTCTTAAATCTTGAAACGCACAAAACCAGACAAACACATTCTGCTATAACATGCAGTTAATTACATCCTTAAAATGATGTCTTGGATTGATATTACTAAACAAACATGTATAAAATGTAATTACAGACAAGTGAAATAAATACTGTAGGCTTATAATTGCAAGATGTGGGTTTTTTGCTTGTGATACGCTACACACCTGTGCGTAGTTTATATAGCTAGTATTTTATGTTGTCATTTTTGCTGGCATTTAGAAGGGCATAGTTTAGCTTTATGTGCTTTTATTTACTGGTTCCAATTTGTGCCATATGTCAGTTTAAAAAAAATGAATGTTTTTATGTATTTGGATTTTAAAACTGGAGTATTTCAATAGGAAAGTCGTAAGGAAGGACTTTTTATACAAAACCACTTAAAAAACTACTTTAAAAATGCACACACTTAATTTTTTTTTTATGACTGCTTTGCTTTCCTCTTCTTTCTTTGCTTGTATCTCTATTGCTTTAACAGTTTAACAGCTACTTGAAGGTCCCAAGTGTATCTGCGCATAAACATTTCTTATGTGATACTAAGATATTCCAGGCCTATGGAGCAATCTAAGAGCCATGAAATTCCATGAGAGTAGCTTGTGGCCATCACCTTGGGTTTGGCAGGTTTTCCTATCAACAAAGTGGAAGACAGTTGGCAGCATTTCAAGCAACTGCACAACCCCTTTGCTAAGCTACTTGAAGTTACAACAAGCTAAAAAGGCAAAGATGTTCAAGGAAATGTTCTCCTAGCAGGGAGAAAGCTAATAACGCATCCACTGTTAAAAGTCGCATAAACTGCCTTGTAGTTCCTCTCTCTTCTTGTGTTCCAGTGTTCAAGGGTTGGTGTCAACCTTACCGTTGGCACACCCATGCCGTTCTCTGTTCAGGGTTAGTTGGCTTCACTGCAGTACTAAGACTTGAGCTGAGAGGAAACTCCTGTCAATGGCAGGGCATCTAACATCGTGTTCCAGTACTTGCATTTTGTTATTTGGTAGCTCAATTGATTTCTGATACATAGGATGAAGATAATCAGCCCTCAGCTGAAAATTCATTGATCCATTTGTTTATTTATTTATTTCGTGCTTTTGGGAAAGGTGCTTTTAGGTTCTGGAACTGTATTTCCAGTAGCAGTTGACACAGCTACGAAATATAAAATAGCTTAGGCAATACCTGAGACAGTTTACTGATGTAATTGTCAAGCAGATACCACACGTGTCCTAACAGGTACTTTTCATATTTAGTTTTTATGGTATAGGTTTTTTTTTTAAAGATTTCAAGAAAACAGTTTGGTTCTTGAGTAATAACATGAAGGCTTCTCATCAGAAAAAGGGAAATCAACGGGCCTCAACTGACTTTAACAGATGTACAGGTAGTAGAATGTTTTACACGTAATTATAAAAACTATTTACAGTAATTAGCTTGAATTTAATTGCTTCTCAGCATGTTAGGATCGTAAATTACAGCTTTATTTCAAACAACTCCTGTTGTCTGTTCTTCCTAAGCTGAACACAGGGAACCCAATGAAAACAAACACTTGTAGAACCATAATTCTCTGATCCTATTTGAAGTCTGTTGAATGGGGATGCTTTGCTCGCTTGGGCCTTGCAGGCAGCACTTCACTTACCCACACAGACGACGTTACTTCCCTTAGCACTAAAAGTGTTCTCCTCCTGTGAGCAACAAGACCACCACAAGATTGCCATGGAGCAAGCCAGTGCCTGCTAATGTTCACCTGAATCCAACCCCGTGCAAGCACTGGTTATTTAAACAATTGTCCAACTGCTTCCAGCTGACTGCACTATTTAGTTTTTGTCCCCATTTTTTCGCCATGCAAATCTGAACAAGAGTGCTGTATTTTTTAATTTCAGTTCAGATTTTGAATGCTTTTATTATGAATTTCTTCAACCCCTGAGAGAAATTAGAGAGGCAACAATGCTTGTCTTATTGCATAACACCAACATTTATTGACAATGAAAACAGCAGAACTTGCAAAAGAAGCCAGTTTCTAATAAACCCTTTTACTAGTTGTTGTTACAGAAGTTGAATTTTTCATTTTTTATAGAAAAAAAAAATTCTTCCTTTTTAAAGAAAAGTCACTCAATCTTTTTGGGAAGATGTATTAAATGACTTTCCCCCCTTTACTAAATTTAGTCTTTTGTTGAATTGTTTCAGTTCCTATTAAACCTTCACCAAAATGTGCTTTCTATTATGTTTCTTCTAATAGGTTTCTCAGCCTTATAACTGTAATAAATTTGTCAGTCTAGCTTCACTGAACACTGGACTCCTAAATCCTACCACAACAGATTATAAATATACCCATTTCTAAACCCTTTCAAGAAGTTCTACCCTTTCTTTCAACTCATTTTATGTACTCAGCAATTCAGTGAAAATAACCTTTCAGAGTCATTCTTTAAACTTTCCTTTTTGGTGGTAGCACAGTCTAGTCATTTGATCAGTCAGTCAGAAAGCCTAAGTTCTGCTCCCGTCTCTGCCACTGTGGATTCAGAGTCGGAACCATCTCACTTAAAGTTTCCTTAGGTGTTCATTTAGAGGAAATGACCAACTTGACCCATATAGGGCCTGATTTTCAGAGCAGCTGAGTGCTCAGAACTGCAATTTAAATCATTTTGAGTGGTGCTCCTTAGAACTGCTAAAAAAAATCATGCCCAAAGGCATTTTGTTAGGTAACCAGAATGGAAAACCCTCAAATGCAGCCTTTATAACAGACTTTTTAAAGAAAAAAATATCCTTTGTTTGACTAATCTCTTTGTTCTAATTTGCTTCCATGGTCTCATTCCTTTTCCTTTTCCTTTTCCTTTTCCTTTTCCTTTTCCTTTTCCTTTTCCTTTTCCTTTTCCTTTTCCTTTTCCTTTTCCTTTTCCTTTTCCTTTTCCTTTTCCTTTTCCTTTCCCTTTCCCTTTCCCTTTCCCTTTCCCTTTCCCTTTCCCTTTCCCTTTCCCTTTTCCCTTTCCCTTTCCCTTTTCCTTCCCTCCCTTCCACTTCTGCTTTCCATTCTTTTTTGTTGGTGGTGAAGAATACTGTTTTCTTCAGGGCATGTTTTAAACTTCATATTAATGAAAACAAGGCTTAACAAAACCTTTAGAATGTTAATAGCCACACTAAAATCAGAAATGCAA